GTTCTGGATTTTTCACAGACCTCATCAGGATGGCACTACCAGGAGTTGGTAGAGTGGAGCTGCTGGGAGCCTGGAGAGAGGTGTAGTGGATCCCCTGTGAGGGTAAGTCACTATTCAGATTCATGGTAAAGTGAGAGGAATAGTTTCTGCCCCAAAGTGACACAACTCAGTCACTGATACCCCCTGAGTTTGCCCAGACCTTTATATCCCAGCCCAGATAGATAAGTCTTTAGCCGCACCCAAGTTCTGCACAGTAGGTCAATAGGGAGACTGAGGGTGGGGCTATTACTTTCCTGCAGGCTGATGCCATATGGAAGGGAGTCTTCTAGGAAAGAAGGCATCTGTAGTGTGGGAGAGTGATTCAGCAAAGGGATCCCAGTGGCTGTCCCTTTAGCTCTATCCTCAGAGCTACAAACCCCATCTCTCTTCTCAACTCTAGTCAGCCCTGACTTCCTGCTACCAGAGTCCAGGATGAGTGGCTGCAAATGAGAATTTGTGTACTGGCCCTTTCAGAAGGCATCTGTGTCTCTAGCAGACTCCTGTCTCCTCATGATTGGCAGAATGTTATTTGAGCACCTCTTCTCATGTCTGGTGCTTTGGCCTGAAGAGTCTGGCTTAGGATTGATACCCCCCACTTCTAAGGGGGAACCCCATCAGTTGAGATAACATTCCAGAATCTCAGCTGCCACCCACTCTCACTCAGCTGTGGGAGTGGGGCCAGCCCTTTCCACATCTCTACCCTTCTTGATGGGGCTTCTTCTATATATCCTTGGTTATAAGACTTCCCTTTAGCTTGTCTTCATTTGGTTATTCAGGTTGCTTGCTCTATATTTTAGTTGTAATTTTATTTGTTCTTGGGATGAGGTAAGTATAACATCCACCTACTTTGCCACCCTCGTGGATCTCCTTTCTAGATTTTTTAATGGTTTCTATTTATTTTCATTTTTTATTGTTGTTCAATTACAGGTATCCCCACTTTTCCCCATTATTTCCCCCTGTCCTACCCACCCCCTCCTCCCACATTCAATCTTTTGACTGATCTTTAGCAGCCAGTTTAACTATTGGTTTGCATTTTTTAATTTGTATTTTTAATGTATTTTATTGATTATGCTATTACAGTTGTCCCAATTTTTCCCTCTTTGCCCCACCTTTACCCAGTACCCCCATTCACTCCAGTAATCTGTCCCAACTTAGTTCATGTCCATGAATTATGCAAGTAAGGTCTTCAGTTTCTCCATTTCTTGTACTATTCTTAACATCCCTCTGTCTATTTTGTACCTACCAATTATGCTTCTTAATCCCTGCACCATTTCCCCCATTGTCCCCCTTCCCCGACCCAGCTGAATACCCTCCAAATGATCTCCATATCTATGATTCTGCTCCTGTTCTGCTTGTTTGCTTAGTTTGTTATTTAAGATTCAGTTGATGATAGTTGTGAATTGGTTGCCATCTTAATGTTCATAGTTTTAATCTTTTTCTTTTTCTTGGATAAATCCTTTTAACATTTCATATAATAATGGCTTGGTGATGATGAACTCCTTTACCTTAACCTTGTCTAAGAAGCACTTTATATGCCCTTCAATTCTAAATAATAGCTTTTATGGAGAGAGTAAGCTAGGTTGTATGTCCTTGCTTTTCATCACTTTAAATACTTCTTACCAGTCTCTTGTTGCCAGCAAGGTTTCTTTTGAGAAATCAGCTGACAGTCTTATGGGAACTCCTTTGTAGTTAACTTTCTGATTTCCTCTTGCTGCTTTAAAGATTCTTTCTTTATCTTTAACCTTTGGCACTTTGATTATGATGTGTGTCAGTGTGATCTTCTCTGTGTCCATCTTATTTGGGATTCTCTGTGCTTTCTGGACTTGTATATCTATTTCCTTCACCAAATTAGGGAAGCTTCCATTCATTATTTTTCTCAAACAAGGTTTCAATTTTGCTCTTCTTCTTCTCCTTCTAGCACCCTTATGATTCAGATGTTGGTACATTTGGAGATGTCCCAGTGCCTCATTATTCTATCCTCATTTTTTGGAATTCTTTTTTCTTCTTTCTGTTCTGACCAAATGCTTATTTCTTCCTTATGTTCCACATAATTGATTTGAATCCTCGCTTCATTCTCTCCAGTGCTGTCTCCCTATAAAGTTTTCTGTATTTCATTTAGTGTAACCTACATTTCTTCCAGGGTATTTTTTATTTTGTTACCATGACCAATGAGTTCTTTGACCATCCTGGTCACCAGTGTTTCGAACTCTGCATCTGATAAGTTGTTTATCTCCATTTCATTTAACTCTTTTTCTGGAGCTTTGTTCTGTTCTTTCACTTGGGCCATATTTCTTTGCCTCCACATTTTGGCAGCCTCCCTGTGTTTGTTTCTAGGTATTATGTAGAGTTGCTTTGACTCCCTGTCTTAGTAACATGGTCTGTTCTAGAAAAGGCACCTGTAATTATGTGGAGCAGAGCCTTAGGTAATCACCAAGTCAGGGCCACCCACTTCATGGCTTTGTGGTTCTGTGTTAGGGGTGGGCTCAGAGAGGGGACAATGCTGCTGCCTGGCTTATGGAGATTTGTCTGGCACCTGCCCTCTGTGATGATGCCCTTCCAGCTCTTTTTGTCATGATGAATCCCAGAGGTGGTAGGTCTGCATATGTCTGAAGTTTGTGTGGATCATTTAAGCAGAGTCTTCTGAAAATCCAACAATTTCTTTCTCCACCCCAACCCCCATTGGTTTTTTACAGCCAGATATTATGGGGATTTATCTTCCTTGTGTTGGAACCCTGAGCTATGCAGTCTTGCCTGAGGCTGGGATTGCTCACTCCCAAGGTATCCCTCCCTATTTTTATCCACCACACATGAATGTGTGACCACCCATTCCACCACTGCTGCCCCCTCTCTGCACCACGCTGCATCTCTGCCCAACTCTATGGCTCTGTCCCTCCTACCCATCTGGATGAATGTGTCTTCTTTAAATCCTTGGTCATCAGACCTCTGTTACAGCTTGATTTTCTGACTATTCTGGGTGTTATTTATTTTGAGGTCTAGTTGTAATTCTTTCTGTGGTTGTGCAAGGAAGCAAAGCATTTTATGTATACCTCCATGTATTCTGCTTCTGTTTTGTATTTAAGACAATTTTTTTAACCATCTGATGAATCTCTATTCTACTCCTATGTAGAAGTGATTACACAGGAACACTTTTCTCCTTTTTCTTTGGATATATTGCAGATGTATCAGATAGTTTTCCAATCCATAGTAGGAACCTCAACCATGGGAGAATTAACAGTCATTGGGTTAAATCTATAAGTGTTTTATAAGTATCTAACTACCAATGGCATGCTCTTGGAGACCTTTTCTGCTATGTGTTTAATTTTCTGGATACATTTTTAACCCTACAGAACTCAGGCCTCAATATTTTATATCATGTGGGGACATCTATAAAGATATGCTCATTTTGTGATCTTGTCATTCATTGACTCTTCAATAAATACAATGTATATGTTGTGTTACATTTGGGGACAATGTCAGATATGCTGAAGTAAAGAGTCCATGAATGGTATTTGAGCATTACTAAAAAAGTCAAAAAATACATAAAGTAATGATTTTTATAGCAGATTCCCAGATGCTCATCACAATCAATTCTCCCCTCCTTCTGAGGGCACCAGCGTGTCACACACTCCAACCACTTTTCAGTCAGTGGATACCATGCTAGTTCTGGCCAGTGGACTGTGCATAAACTGACTGCATTAATTCCAAGGCAGAACCTTCCTTCACTTGATAGGGGAAACTGTCCAAATGCCCTTTCCCTTTGTGGTGAATTTGAAAGTCATACTACAGCTGGAGTATGCAGCTACAAGCTGAAGTTGTATAATGCTAATGCTTTTTTCAGCCTGGATTCTGGAGTGTTCTTCATGGACACTAGCTGCCCTTGGAGAAAGGCCAGGACCATAAAAATGATAAATAGCCCTGTTAACAACTGAGACTTCAGTGGAGTTTCTTCGTGGTACGTAATCTAGCCTGTTTAGACTAACATAGCCATATCCATACCCAATCACATTTTAGTTTTGTTTGTTTGTTTGTTTTTGCATTTAGCAAAAAAATAATCTTTTTGGTTTAAAAGCACCCAATATGTACCAGGTACTATGTTGGGTATCTGGAATACTTAGACAAAAAATCTCTAAGCTAAAGAAACGTTTGTTTTAGAACCACCTAAAATGTTCCTAGAAATAAAAAGTCTTGCAACGTAATTCAGACTTACTAGAAGAGAATATTTAGGCATGGAGACCCAGAGTAAGTTTGTCAGGTAAGTCTTGTTGAACACTTTCATGTTTGGAACTGATCTAATGGTAAATAAGAACACATAGGTTATTTTGATTTGTTCTTGTAGATGTAAGTGGGTAGGGTACTGTACCTACCTATGAGAACTATGAGGCACTGCTGGAGTTCTGCTTAACAACCCAGACCATAATGGCACCACCATTCAGCCATGTGTCATGGGCAGTGCTATTTCAACAACCATCCAAGGACAGCTTTGCTTAAAACAAAATGTAGGTCTCCACTTTCAAAACGAATGGAAGAATTGAAGGGGTTTTCATTGTCATGGACATTTTGCTAATTTAAACTAAGAACACTAATTTTTAAGTGAGCACATGTTTTCAGTTTTAATTCATACATTTTAAACACCAATAATAAAGTAGCTGTACAGTGGCTGAGGTGGTAATAAATATTTTTAAAGGAGCTTCTTGAATATGTATATGAGTATAAAACAGAAACCAACAACTTTTAAACATCCATGTTTTAAAAGAAATCAAAATAACAATGTATTACTCCTCTAGTAATAAATTTAAACTCTGACACATGCTAGGGAGATGTTCTTGTACTTACTGTTCCTGATTATTATGAGCTTACAACACATGCATGTCTTTTTGTTCTGCTACTGATCAAAATAGAATGCACTTTGCAGATCAATAAATAATCATATATTGAATGTATTTGTACTTCCTATCACTTACCTGTCTGCAGCCTGTCAACTGTATTTGGGCAGAATTAGAATTTGAATGAATGTAATTGCAAATAGCTTGTCATGACCCATAAGGGTTTTCTGAGATGAGAAAGTGGCACAGCTCTCTTTTCACCATCCCGATGACAACAGAAACTGGAATTATCTGGAAGTAAACAAAAATTTCCAGACCCACTGTAAATTGATTTTTCTGTCAAGATGATGTACAGCTCTTGGATTATGCTGCCTCTGTTCTCATTTATTTATATATTTATTTACTCATGCATTCATTTTGTGGTGGGGTAGCTTTTGCTGCCAAATAAAATAAGCATCTGGAGTAGTAGAATACATCAAAGCCTTTAAAATGTGCATCCAATATAGGAAAACACTCCTTTAAAAATGAAATAAAAATCATTATGGAAGGTAGATGGTTCCTGTCTACTGTGAACTTTGCACAGAGTTGAACATGCATACCAATAACTTACTTAAAAAAAAGGTCACTATAGGTGCAATTCAGTGGACATGTACCAAAAAATCATATACTGCTCCCTAAATCCTATTTGATTTTTTCACTAACATAGCAAAGGCTCTGAGAAGTCCTGAGGGATGACCCACATTTGCTAAATTTATTTGACTATTTTTTATACCACCTATTAAGTTCCCACAGAATACATGGAAAATAAGGCCCGATTAAGCTCTCCAGTCTCATCTGTTGCCATTATGTATCTAAAAATGTAGGTCAAAGATACACATCTCTCAGCCTCTACAGTTTTTACACATGCTGTTTTTTTACCTAGATTTTTTCTCTCTCCTCTATCATACTGCTGTCACAGCTTTACTAGACCTTACCTATAGTCTAGGTCACAGCTTAGCATTCACTTTGCTTGGGAGATTTTCCCTAACACCCCAAATGTACAAACCTGTGATGTTTTTCCACCTAATCTAGTATTTCTGTCATAACTAAAATCACCTTTCTTTATAATTTATGTTTAATGATCTTGCTTTCCTATGGGATGATAAGCTCCATAAATTTGTTGTCTTACCCAATATTTTAGCTCCAGCATCTCATATGGTCCTTGGCACATCATAAGCACTAAATAGACATTTATTAAATTTAAATAAGTATCTTGAATCGCTGGTTGAATATTTTTCTAAAATGTTTCTGGGTCTTGTAGACTAAGAGAGTCACAGATTCTCAGTAAATTGTTGTGTTTTTGACCTGAGTTACATTAGGTCATATAAATTGCCTTATTTTATTTTATTTTATTTTGCTTCATTTTATTTACTTTTATCTTTTTGTTTTACTTTATCTTATTTAATTTAATTTAATTTTAATCTGTTCCTATCTTGAAGTCACAATATAGTTTAACCAGCTAAAGCCAGAGGTTTCCAGACTTTGGGAGTTGCAATATTCTGTTCTAGCTGATGTGATTTCATGATATGCTCTTCTGTCCCTAAAAATGCCATGTAATATTTATTTCACATATGCATATAAGTGAGTTTACATGGACATGTTATGCACTGTAGCTACTACCAAACTACTGAGATGGCCACTGTGATGTGTCCTTCCAAGCATCTGGTAGACTTGAGGCTGCTTCCTAAAATCCAGAAAAGTAGGTTTTGTTATAGCCTACCTAGGTGTCTCTCTGAGGACTTAGATGTAAGAAGCACGTAACTGCTATTTCTTAAGTGTTTTGTAGACATAGCTACAAGTGGGATCATGGCTGATGTTCTAACCAGTCTTTCTTCTTGGAATAGTTTGGCAACTCTGGCAACCTTGAACAGTCTGTCATAATGGTTCAGTTTCTCTGGACAATGCTTAACACTGAAGTTCTGGCACTGGTTAATTTTATATCACTTTGACTGGGCTAAGAGATAGCCAGAATGCTGGTAACTCATTATTTCTGGATGTGACCGTAAGGGTGTTTACAGAATAGTTTTGCATTTGACTTGGTAGACTGAGTAAAGAAGATCACACAGACCAAGGTAGGTGGGCATCATCCTATCTGTTGAGGGCCTGAATAGAATATGCAGGTGGAGAAAAGGTGAATTTGCTCTCTCTACTTAAGCTGGGAAAAACATCTGCTCCTGTCCTTGGACACTGGCACTTCTGGTTTGGGTCCTCAGACTCAGACTGGGGCTCACACCATTGGCTCCTCTGGTTCACAAACCTTTGGGCTTGAAGGGGGCTGTACCGCTGGCTATCCTGGGCCTACAGCTTGCCAGGGGCATATCATGGGATTTTCCCTCCTCAATAATCACATGGTCCAGTCCCTCATAATATCTTCTTCTTCTAAATACCTGTTACAACCTATTGGTTCTGTTTCTCTGGAGAACACTGACTAATACACCCTCCTGACAAGAGAAACTAATTTTTTAGTCGATAAATATTTTGACTATAATGGTGTGAGGTGCTGCACTTATAGAGTTAAGGTTGGTAATTTCTAAGAAGTATGGATATAGATATTGTGAAAAAAAGAAAAGCTATGGCTAAGAGTGAAAATGGTAGGGTGAGAAAAGAGTTATAGTTGGCATCGAGAGCTCTTAGATTGCAATTATAAAATAGTTCCTGTCCTTTAGTGAAGGATAAAGAAGAACATGTATTTGGGAGTCAGTAGAAACCTTATATCTTAGGAACTGCCTCATTAATGCTTTCTAGTGGTTATGTCCAGGTGTTTGTCTCTGCATAGTGAGAGACATTTTCTAGAATATTTTTATATGGTTTAGAGAAATATATGGTATTCTGTGTGGGCTATCTGGAGCCCTAATTTTATGTGAAAATAAAATTGACTTAAAAGAAAAATAAACAGTAACAGCCAAACAGAATTCAGAACAATTTTATAGTATAATTTAGAAAAAAACTGAACAAAATAAATTGACAATAAAATCATTCACAATGGCCCTCTAGAATAGATTATTTCTTCTCGCTGCCATTATGAATTTTTTAAATGTTATATAATGGCTCCCTGGCTGGTGTGGCTCGGTGGATTGAGTGCTGGCCTGTGAACCAAAGGGTCACCGGTTTAATTCCCAGTCAGGGCACATGCCTGGGTTGTGAGCCAGGTCCCCAATGAGGGGCGTGTGAAAGGCAACCACACATTGATGTTTCTCTCCCTTTCTTTCTCCTTCCCTTTTCCTGTCTCTAAAAATAAATAAATAAATTCTTTAAAAAGTTATCTAATGGCAAACATTTATACAATTTAATAAATTTTATTTTATTTTTCAATTATAAAATAAAAGTGTGCATTATTTTTATAATTTCACAAAAAATACTTTTTTAAAAAATTAGGATCAATTTTATAGACTAAATTTAGTATATAATGTACAATATGAGGCCTAAGCTCTGCATTATCCTTGGAACATGTCCTTTTACATAAAAGAACATTAAAAAGTCTACAAATTCTAGCATAAATACTCTGAAGCATCCTATAACTGCTTACCCATCTTCACTCATGCTGTCCCTGCCCCCACTACACACACACATGCACACACACACCTTCTGTCTGCACTCTGCTGTATCGTAAAAACCTCCCTCTCTCAATTATCCTCTCTAGCATCTCCAAACCCTTGCCTATAAAACTACCTTTCTCATCTCTTGAACCACTCTCTTGGCACACGTAAACACACTCAGAAACATAATTTTCACCCATCATAAAAAAGCTCACTGCTATGTTGGCCATACATTTTTGTAGAGACATTACAATCTCTCACTATGAAACAGCCTGTTCATTCAGACTTAATAATGGAAAATGATTTATCCTGTTTATTCCCAATATTCATATTTTATTTATTATTGTAATTAGCTTGATGTGTACCAGAAAGATGGAGTACCATTTGCATTTTCTATGGATAGGTTTCTGTTTTCTCTATATCTTTCAGCTACCCATTAATAAGCTTTAGGGAAAAAAAAATAAGAGGCCCACGTGAAAGGCAGAATCCCTGTATTCCCCACGCAACACTTCTGTAAATATAAAATCATTCCAAAGTAAATTGTTTTTAAAAAAATAAGGGATAAGAAAAAGGAAAACCAGAGAGGGAATAGGAGAAAAAAGAGCAAGGGGAACAAAGCGAAGTGTGTGGTTTTAGGGACCAACAGACGGCAGACCTTCATACATTAATGGCACAGTCATTATGCCTGCATTTGTGTGCGTCTGATGATTTGTGGCAATCAGTTTTTAGTATTGAGGCTTAGTGTTAATTAGGGCTTATGCACCTCTAAGTCAATTAAATTTGGTTTATTAATGCATAATTCAATATTGTTATGTATAGCAGAACACTTAAAAGGATTTTAAAATTCTATCTTCTGATGTGCCTGAGATATTTCAAGGAAACACTCACTATCAAGTAAAAATGAATAATTATGGAAGGCCTAACACCACACAGTTGAACAGACAAGACAGCTGCTATTATTAAGCACTCCAAGTTGAAAGTATGGATTCTATCATTATAAGAAGAAAGACAGAGCTGTGATAATTATGGAAATGCTATAGCTTCCATTTTTGCTAATGTTTTTGTAGAATATTTAAAGCCACAAAGGTTAAGATAGAGAGCTCAATTTCTTTATCTTGTAACTCATTAAGATGAATGCATTTTTCTACCACTTGTAGTCATAACAGAGCTTGCAGTCTCTGAGACATCATGATAAGAAAGAGCCGATTTGGGTGAGAAATTAAATGATAATAAACATAGTGTAGACTCAGTGGGGGTAATATTGTTTAATGTCAGTGGTGATTGAAACTACCTTCTAGACAACTGAAGCTTTGTTGGCCCTGTCTGTTTATATTAATTTCTCCTTTTCAAAGGCCATTATCTTAAATTGCATGTTATATAACTTGTGCCGCCTCCCTCCAGCCCACAGCACCACTTCTAAAGCAACTTGATGATGCATATTGTAGGGGGAAAAAAACCTTTCCTAGGCTCTGCATCAAGGAGATTACAATCTTGAGACTAATGGGAATGGATTAAACTTTGTACAATTTCCTTTTGTCATGTGAATTCAACCCCGTTGTGCTATTTTCCATACTCCTTTCAATCTTTGTCACAGAAGTGATCTATAAAAGCGTTAGCACTGCTTAACCGACCCTGGCCTGATTTAACCCATCAGGACCTACAGTTTGATTGGTTCCAATTTTTA